GATTAATTAATATTATCTTTGATGTAATTAGGTCTCCCTTGTGAAGGCGTCTTGAATTTTTTATAACAGGGTGTTATGTAAAAAATACACACTGATGTCAGTACCACCAATCAGAGCTCAACAAATGCTTAAAGACAAAGTAGTATTAGTTGTAAAAACCCAAACGACCTCAAGGAGATATTATATAACACTAAAACCACTTTTATCAAAATAAAGGATCAGAATGAATGAGAGCTTTCCATATTTCAAGATAACTTGTAAAAACACTCATTATGTTAAGCTTAAAGGTGTATAAATTAGCTACTCTCTTCATGAAATAGGAGGTTGGACACATGAGAGTTGGACACACATTTGAGCTTCAACCATTATTTTTCTCTGTAAACAAAACATTACTCTATTTTTATATGCCTCACAGACAATATCAGAAAAATAGTCAGAGAATAATCAAATAACAATGAATGTAGGATTCGTTTTAAACATCCGAATCACTATAAAAATCTCTCTTGTTAATCTTTTATTCATGTTTCTTAAAACATATATCATCTCAACACCATTAATACTTCTTATGAATCATTTCACGTGTAATTTCTAAGATCCTCTTAGTATTTTGCATGTGCGAAGTCGTTAGTGTCAAAATCACACATCAACACATGGATTTTAATTGTTACTAGTGAGTATGCACGATTTTTTTTTAAGTAATAAAAAAAATACAAAATCTTGTATTTATACAAGAATTACCTCACATTTACGAGAAGAAAATTACAAAATCTCATTATATTAGAGAATTTTCGATTTTCCATGTAATGGTTTTTAAAGTTTATATGTTTACAGTTGATTTACACATCTTAATAAAATTTTTTTTTTTTTTCTGAAAAGGTAGTATTAAGGGGGTGTTTGTCTAAGCTTATAAGCTGGTCAAACTTGCTTATAAGCTCTAAAATTAAGCTGACCTGTTTGTTTATAATTTTTTTGAGCTTATAAGCTAAAAAAAATAAGTTGGGGGGGAGGTACTTTTTTTTTTTGGCTTATAAGCACTTTGCTTATAAGCTAGTTTGACCAAGTATATTACCACATTATCCTTATTTAATTTTAAAATTCCATAGTGTGCCCTTATTTAATGTAATACCCTTTTTAGTAATTTTATAATAAAATGTACTTATAAGCCATATTTTACCAAACACGTCAATTACTTATCAGTCACTTATAAGTACTTTAACCAAACACGTAATTGCTTAAAATTTCAAATACTTATAAGTTAATTTTAGCTTATAAGCAATTGTTGTTTATAAGCTAATTTTCATAAGCTCAGACAAACACTCTCTAAGTTTGAGATAAATATGAATTAAGTCTATATATTACATCCATAATCCGATCATTTTTTTATTTTTTTAAAGATAAAGTTAAAGGTAATTAAAGCATGCCAACCTACTTTAAAAAGTGGTATTAATTTTTTAATCATACAGGATTCTCCTCTTATTATATGTAATAATATAGAAAAAATGTCTTTTTCCTAGAACATTTACCTGAGATTTGAACTTTGACTTAAGGGAAATTATTATAAACCCCTCCAACTATATCCATATGAAAAGAACCGCTTTGGTTTAAATAATTTTTCAGAACCCTTTGCCGTTTGTGAGAATTACTTGAATACGTTAACTGACACCTCTTAACCTCTGAAATACCTTATTTGTCCTTGATTTTCAATAGAAAATAAAGAAATAAAAATTTTCCTTATCCATATAATATATAAACAATAAAGAAACAGATAAAAATATAATAAATTAAAAGTTTATTTAAATAAATTAAAAGTTAATAGATACTGAGGTTAACACTACTATGGCGAAGAAAACTTCAACTTGACTCAAATGTTTCATAAATAATCCACACAACACAACTATGGCTACTTGGCTGGTTAGTCCAACTATTTGCCGCAACTTTAACTTATTATCTCCGACTAAGTAGGAGATTTTATCCGGGTTACCGATTTGCGTCAAAAGCAGAAGTTTTAATGTAGTTGATTATTTTTAAGGACATTCTAAGCTTTTTTGGGCTATCCACCTAAGTCTGGGCTTAAATGAGGCTTGTAAGCCCAAAACTCAAACGGGTAACCCATTCAAACTCACGGGTCTCTCTTACATATAATCGCCCCACATGCCAAGGTTATTGCTGTAATTCCAACCTCTCTTCAAACTGAAAATAACAAACCCCTAACTTTCGCACCCAAATTTCCCCCCCTTTCTTCCCATATGTAAATCCAAGCTAATCTGGAACCAAATGTTTAATTAATTCATTTTTATAAGCTCCAACAAATTACACGCTAGACCTTGCTAATATCTCTATCCCCATTGCTAGCTTTAACTCTGTGTTTGGCTCTTAACCTGCTTCTCCCGACTCAGTCGTCAAACCGCCACGTGTCGATTATGTTGTTCAAGCTCTGACTTTGACCACCAACGGAGACTATCACAATGATTGGTGTCGAAGCTTCAACCTAAAGGCTTGTCCATTAATCATCCAAAGAGTATGATTATGTATGCAAGAAAGAATTTAACACATTCACAATCTAAGTATATATCCTTACCTTCAACTCTTAATTAAGGAAATTAAAGTAGTTAATCAAAGAATTTGGTATAATTTATGAAGTCTTGTGGGTTGAGGTTGTCTTTATAATTAAAAAATCAATGTAAATTACAATTAACATAACATCTACAAAGCCAACATATATACTCACATTATTTCTTCTTCTAAAAATTCTCATTTCCCTTTAGAACTTCCGTTAAATTCTCTCTTCAGGTTGTGCACTAGGAGTCTTGAAGCACTATGAGACTCATTCTTGTTGGAAAATCCGAAAAAATTGTTCAATTGCAGTTTAGTGGAATTCATAGTTAATTTTGAAATTTTCTTCTTTTTTGTAACTGGTGCCAAGTAAAACATTTTAATTAATCGTTATATTAACCCTTAATTTTACTTCAAAATTTTGTTTTGAAGCTCTTTTTTTTTTTTTCACTTTCATGAGATGCATGCCTTTATCTAAACAATGGGTATGTAATTAATACATTTAGCTTTCAATCAAATTGCTTTGGCTTGTTTCGCTGTTTCGATTAGAACTAAGCTTATGCATATAATTGATGTTGAACTTTCTTAAAATCAGTGATTAGTACCTCTCTTTTCAAAAATAACTCTAAACCTCCATATCGTTTGTCAGTCATTAACACTACAAGAGTACAAGGCTAGATTTAAGGGATGGAAGGTAAATGGAAATGACATTTTTATCCTAACCTCGACCTTCTCCACTTTTGGGGTAGACCCTATGGCCTTGCAACGCCTCCCTACTCCTTCCCCAGCATCTAGCCGCCCAAACCCCATTGTACTCTGGCATTGCCCCACTGGACTAACAATTAATCGGTGGGTTTTTTGTTTGGGTTGATATCGGATTTGCAGGTTTTAATTATTGGGTTTTTTTTTTTTATATGTTTTTGTTTTCTTTGTCCTTGTTGGGTTTGACTTATATTTTACTGACGATGGAATTTAATTTACAACATTTCACCTTTAATGATTCACTGTGATGTATTTTGTCCCAAAATAAATTTTCTTACCTTCAAAAACTTATGATGATCTGATTATTCATCTTGGCAGATTTAAAAAATGGTGTGTTCATCACTTCCATTCAGAGAAGGATCAATTATTTTTACCATGAGATCAAAGTTCGAATGCTATTAAGTCTGAGAACACAAACCATTCTTACCATCTTTGGCAATCTCAGAAGGTACTGCTTAAGAGTTTTTATTCGATTTTACCTCTTTGTGCAATTAAATTGTCAAATCAAGCCAAACAATATATAACCAAATAAATAAGCAAGTAAATAAAGGCAAACACAACCAAATCGATAGGCCAAATTTTTAACATGGAAAATCTTTCAATGTGAAAAGAAAAACCACGAGTTGACTGTAAACCGCCCACACAAAACTTCCACTATCAAGTAAATGGGTTACACCAATGTTTCTTCCCTAGAGAAACCTATGAGCATACAACTAACAAGTATCTTCATTCAAAAGTGGGCAACACCACAATGTCTCAAAGTTTGGATTTCTCAACAACAACAAAGCAAATTAAGAGAAGGATTGACGATCCAAACTGTTAGATGTGAACATTGGATCACCGTCAACAACATCCTGAAATTTCGGTAGAAATCGGAGGAAGTTTCACCATTGGATTTGAGCTCCCAAAGCCAGAAACCCATTTTCTTTCTCTCCTTTTCTCTTTTCTCTTCACTGCCACTTTTTGCTTCTTTTCACATCTCTTTGTGCTTACAGATATAAAATAGTTACACATATTAATAATTAAAATTTGTTTATAATAATTAAAATATTTACATGCATATCTGAAGCTATTTGACAAACATGATCCAAATTACTAAGTTAGTTTGCATATACAAGCTGCATGCAACCGATCAATTTGAATGCAGGAGAAACTAATAAGTCAGTTCGATTCTCGGGTTAACTGGAAATTCGTATAATTTTAATCAAAACAATTTGTTTTTATTAAAAATTAGAAAAACCCAGGTACATGATTATATCAAAATGTCATTACTAGAAACCTTATAATATTGACACAACAAATATGTATCATCGACCTGGTGCTCTAACAATTTCCCTACAGTAATTGTATATGTTAAAGGTTCTTTGAGGTAGATTATTGTAAGTTGTAAAAACTGTTTCCAACTGGTCTGATAAAAATAATGAAAAAATGAAATGGATGATACTAATTATGAGTAAAAACTAATTTAGATAGTTGGTCTCTTGAAATTGTACAAAAGGACTTGAAATTGAAATCTGAATATGACTTTATTCAACCATACATACAAAATAAAATGTTAATGAACAACATTCTTAGAAAATACACACACACACACACATATACCCACAATATATTGTTGGTGTACAATAATCTTTATTAAATACACACCTTATATACACAATAGAACGTTGATGCACAACACTCTCTTAAGCATCATATTGCATTTGAAGAGATTGAAAATTGGCTTCATCTTTCTCATGCTCAAGCAAAAGCGAAACATGAGTGAGCAATTCTCCACCTCGCCTAAGTTGCTCTGCATGGAGAGTCCAAGGACAATTAGTAGCACCATAACACAACATTTCCACCCAAACACCACTTGTTATTCTCCATTTGTCCTCTCTTCCACGCAATATTCCAGCCAATTTTTGCACCTGAAGAACCACATTCCATTCTGATGTAAGCACATTTTTCTTTGGAATTCCTTGTAGATAATTTTCATCCACAAGCTCATCTAGTAAAATCCTGCACAATGTGGCTTCATCCCTTGATTCTTTCTTCAAAACCTCACCCACTTGAGCACAAACACCACGAAAGAGAATGTCACTAGGGACAATAGATAACATATCAGGATGCATGGTCAAAAGATACATCATATAATCTGATAAAACTTTGCTCAATTCACGTTCAGAGGGATTGAATATATCTTGTAAGTGACCATCATCTAGATAGTAACAAACACTTGTGGCAATGTGCCATATAAAAATGGCTTTGCCAAACTTTGTTTGCTTCTTGGCGTGGGAACCAAAATCTTGTGGAATATTCAATTCCAAATCTTGGAGACAATAGCATTTTTCAAGTGGCCATACGCCACATTCGGAGAAAGGATTCCCACCTCTTTGTGCTCTTACCTCTTCCACTTGTTGTAGTACCAATTTCTTCAACTCTTCAGGGACCTTTATATCTTTCTTGACACAATACTTTTTGTATTCGCTGTAGTAGCTCTTGACTTTGGGAATTCTCCTAACCACCCCACCAAGCTTTGTAGAGTCTTCATAGAGACAATAGCTTAGTAAGTTGAATTGGTCCATGGAATGTGACCACCTATGCTTCTTACTTGGATTCTTTCGAGCAACAATCCTCAACAATCTTCTCATACATGCACTCCTATTTTGATTCATCATATTAAGTATTGCCCAATCTGAGCACAAAAATTCCTTCATCTCATAGAATTCAAGTACAAGTGCTCCAATAAGCAACACATAGGTAATTATGAAATCCAGATCGTTGTCTATTTCATACCCCAAACGCACACACAAAACAGATAGAATAATAATGCAAATGATGCGACCCAAAAAACTTCTCTTAGAATAGCTGATGAACGCATTGGTATAGAGCACATCATACATAAAGCTAAGCTCAAATTCTGTGACTCTGAAAACATCCTTAGGATGTCCGTAGTCTACACTCACTGAATTAGGAAGATAACTAGATGAATGGTAGCCTAGCCAGTTCTCAAGATAAGGCTTCAACCGGTCAAAGCGTTGATAAGCCTTCACAAGCAAAGCAAGATCATCAGAAGTTTCTCTGAAATTAGATCTAAGCTCGATTGGGATTTCTACTTTTCGAGAATCACTATGTACAAAAGTAGTTATAACAACTTTTTCTCTATTCCTTAATGACATGAATGCTCGGAGTCTTTCTACAACTTTGATTAATCCTGGCGCACAACCACTTACCTCTAAGATGAATTCAGTTACCTCTGTGATCACGGTACCTGTCATATAAATTAATGCTTGACAGAAGATCCAAACTGCTAAGGCTACTTGGGTGCTTAGTCCAATAACTTGCCTAAATGTTAACTTATTATCTTCAATTGAGTAGGAGATCATATTTGGGCTACAAATTTGCACCAAAAGCATTGATGCCCACCAGTCCATGTAGAACTTATAATTTGAATATTTATCGATGTCGACTGCGTCATTTTCTTTTACGACATAAGTCGTGGTACTCATTGTAGAAAGCCTGCCAAGGACAAATGTTACCATGGGACTTGCCATTAAGTAGGATAACCAAACACAAAATCGGCTCAAAGAGCTTAACCGGTACTTTCTACGATTGCCAAAGAAAGTAAGAATGGCTTGTGCTCCAATACTCAATAACAGTAGAGTTCTGATCTCGTTTGCATCCCATAGTGCCTCTGAACTTTTTTTCTTGATAAGAATTGATCCTTTTGGGACTATAACTGTATAGTTCATCTTTAATTTCTTAAAACTGATGAAGATGAATATATAATTACTGTAAGTTTTTAAAGATAAAGAAATATACATATAAATTAATCAAGACATGTATATGTTACACAAGATGTAAACTTTGATTTGAATAATTAAATCAAGAATATTAATTTCTGTAGAAGTTTTATATTGTATTATTATATATATATATATATATGTTTTCTAAAGTAGATAAGTATTAGCATTTGATTTATTTAATTAATAGTAGGATTGCTAGTTTAAGTACTAGAAGTTTTATATTGTATTTTTTTTAAATATTTGTTTTCTTAAATAAATAAGTATTAGTGTTGATTTATTTAAAATTAACAATGGGGTTACTAGTTGAAGTAGTAAAAAATATGATTTAAGTATCTTATATAATAGTGTATTTGTCAATTTTTTTTTGTTTTTAAAAAACTTATAATCTTTGTAGGTGTGTTTTCTTTATTTTTTATTTTTACTTATGTTCTAGATATTTTTATTTCTAGGTAGTTCTCAATAGTCAATAATATACCACGTTTTCTGCTTTTATTGTAACAAAACATTACTTTTTTATGATTTTACTTAATATTTTCTTTGTGTGGCTATCTAACATAGTTCATTTCTAACTGTAATCTATGAAACAGTGACGAAATATATAACTTGTAACAATTTTTTTTATCGTATCACTGGCATTAGAGCCAATTAGGCATGGCTCATGAGTAGTTCAGATCATAAACCTAACAATAGATAGGCAAATAGGTAGAAACTTGTGGTTATTGAAGATAGTTTAATCCTTTTATATATTCCAAAATTTGATATAAAAAATAAATAAAATTTGGTTTTGGTGAGTTTACATGGAACTCTTTCTAGAATATGGCAATCTTTGAGAGGTTTTAGTCTTTTAGATTAGGGACTTGTGACACCACGGGTAAGAACAAAAGAAGAGTCTAATAAATGCTAAAAGGAAATATTGAGAAGCTTATCTATATGTTAAGAGTAATACTACACTTATAAAGAAATTTTACAAAGATCTCTATACAAAAAAATTTTACAAAGATTTCTATACAAAGTGATGTGACAAAAAATGAATGGAATAGTGAATTTAATGAGTTTCACTTTTTGTTTTACTTTTCTATTCATTTTTTGTCACCTCACTTTGTATAAAAATCTTTGTAAGATTTCTTTGTAAGTATAACATTATTGATATATTAATCACTTGATAGACTTGTCTGTTTTGGGAAGGTCACCAACATCTAGAAAGGGGATTGGATTAGAAGCTTGCCTGGACCTGGGATAAAGCCTAGGTTTTATAAACTCAGGCCAAACGTGGGCTGAGGTTACTCGGGCTCAAGCTGGATACCTTGGCTTCAGGCTCACATTTTGTTATATGATGAGGTTTTTTATTTTATATTTTAATTAATCAGTGGGGCTGCATGAATTTTATTAGGGAATTCCTGGTAAAATGGTAACGTGATTTCACATAAAAAAATTCAAGTAATATTTAGGGGGTTTTCTAAAATTATATAAGGGGCTTTACATAAGTTTACATGTCCTCATATAATATATCTGGACCTGGAACCAGGCCTAGGCTTAGGTGTAATTTATGCCCGGGCCAGGCGGGTATTCTTTTACATCTCTACAATGTGAAGATCATCAATCAAATCCTAAAAATTGTAGGGGATCAAACAAGAAAGGAAGAAATAAAGATGTCATGTGGATTTTCTATAGATGATGGAGCTCGGGTAGATCTTAAACATTCTATATTGGATGAGTCACGTTCAGTTGAGAAACTAAAGATTATAAAGAAAAACAAAAAATCATGATTCTTAGAATGGAGGTCCGCTCAATGTGGTTCCTGAGGAAAAGACCATGGAAGTGACTCCAAAAATTAATTTCAGCAATCTAGCTACAAGAGGGACATTGGTGGGCAAGGCAATCATACATGGATAACGTTTTCCTTTTTCTAGAGCTTGGGTTAAGGGAGGAAATGTTGGAAACTAATTAAAGCATGGGATATTATCATAAAGTACATCTAAGGTTTGAGTTTTTATTTAATTCTTATGATAATCTTATATCAATAGTTAAAGAGCCATTTATAAACTTTTGTTATGTTAAATTAAGCATTAGATTCAGTGACGATCACAAATTAACATATATATAATATTTTAATTTAAACTGATGATTTACTTGATCCACACATGCATCTTTGTAAATGGCATGTAAATTACAGAAAGAAGAAACTTTCATAATTAAATTAACCATTGACTCCGCTAACCTGGAGCTGAAGAATTCTTGCAGTGCTTCACGATTCTCAATGCATAATCTGAAGAGAGAAATTGACGGAAGTTGTCAAAGACAATTGGGAATTTTCGGAAGCAATATTGTTTGAAATTAATCATGCAGCAACGCATGCAGGTCTACATATAATAGGATTGTTTGTGTTCCAAGGCTCAATAACAGTAGAATTCTGATCTCGCAAAAACAATTGATCCTTTTGGGAATATTGTTGAAAAGTTCACTTTTTTAAAGTTGATAAAGATGAATTATTATCGTTAGGCTTTGAAGGTAAGAAATTTACATATAGATCAAGACATGTGTACATTACACAAGATGTAAACTTTTATTCGCATTATAAATTGTCAGAAATTAAAGCAAGCATATTAGTTTTAATGTACTTTCGGTATTAATTTTTGCAGTTTTAACTATAATCACTTCATTTTTTTTAAGTTAAACACTAAAAATGTTTGATAAACAACTTTTGAAAATGACTTTTATTAAGTTGATTAAAACCTTATTATTTTTATTTAATAATAGAATAAAAGGCATGGGATAAGGAGATTGTGAAGAATCAATTGTAATCCTAGAAATGGTAGGAGATCAAACTTTGTTAAGATCCAACAACGACAGGAAGAAATAAAGATGTCATGTAAGTTTTCTGAAGATTATCTCAGGTAGATTTTAAACATTCTAAAATTGGATGTTGAAGATCAAAAAGACAAAGATCTTAAGATCATAATTCTTCGAATGAAGGTCGATCCCTCTCATTATAGTCGAGATACTTTTCGGTGAGGCTAAAGTAAAACAAGATGTGATAAAGTTCTGCATGGATTCAAGGAGCAAATCATGCAACATGTAAGTGGACTTCAAGAATTAATTTTATCAATCGATAAGTGTTTATAATTGATTAATAACTTAATTAATAATTTAAGTGGAATTGTGATTTAGCCCCTTTAAAAATGAGTGTTTTTTTGTGTTTATATTTGAGAAGTAAAAATCTCTCTTTTGTGTTTTTTGAGTTGATGTTATTATGTTTTTTATTTTCATACACAAGTAATTAGTTTAATATATTATATGAGTAATATTAGCTTCATAACCTAATCTCATAATCTTTTTTCACAACCTCCAATATGATAGTTCGTCATTGGTCAGCTTGCAAAATGGGTCTCATCTGTCCATTTACGAGCTAACTAATGATGGACTGTCACATCAAAGATTATAAGAGAAAGTTATTAGCATCATTGATACATTAATTAAACTAAAAGGGATATTATAACTTATATTTTAACATTATTTGAATCATGAATCATCTATACATGGATTTTTACGAAGTTGATGATATTGATAATAACTACTTTGATACCAAAATTTTGAAATAAAATTAAGGTTTATAATTTACAAGGATGGCGCATATATAAGTTTTGGTTTGTGATCTTTTTGACTTATTTTTGTATTAAACATGATTTTAATTAGAAAACTTATATATTAACATAGATCTAATAATATAATAGTTGAGGCTAATAGCATGGATCTTATACTATAGATAAATTCGCTTGTCTATAATATTATGATTGGAATGATTAATTTAATTTAATAATAATGGTCTAATATATTAATAATAGTTAAAAAGCAATTTCCAAACTTTTCTTATGTCAAATTAAGCAATATTTGATTAATGATCTACTTCATCCACACCAGCGTCTATATAAATATATAATAAGTTGAAACAGTAAATTCCAGAAAGAAGAAAACTTCCAAATTGACTATTAATTCCACTAACCTGCAGCTGAACAATTCTTCGGTTTTTCCAACAAGACGAATTCATGCACTGCTTCAAGATTCTCAGTGCATGCACAATCTGAATAGAGAAATTAATGGGGAAAAAAAAAAAACTGATGGAAGTTTTCAAAGGAAATTGAGAATTTTCATAAGAAACGTTGTCACTAAATATGTTGGCTTTGGCTTTGTAGATGTTATTTTAATTATTCATGCAACAGCACAGCTCTATATGTTATATAGTACCTAGATACGAATTTGGAAAAGGTTTACAGAATTTATTATTTTCTTGCAACTGTTTTCCAAGTATAGTTCCTTTCTTGAGTGGCTATATAATTCTATTGGAATCTTTTACTTTGCTCAGCTTTAGCACACATGCTTACTTAATATTATTGTCACTATAAATGTTAATTATCTATACAGCAACACATGCAGGTCCATATATAATTCTAATACATTACGGGAAAAAGGTTAATTATTATTTTCTTGCAACTTTCTTCTTTAGTATCGGATCCTTTCCTCAATGAAACTATGTTCTCTTCTAGTCATTCCTTTGTCAGCTTTAGCCCATACTTAGTTTCTTTTGTATTACTCCATAAATTTAACATGTTTAATTATCTAAGACTATTATTAAGAGATTGATCCGCATGACCACATTTATTTAAACACTAGATCGCAACTCTCTATAAGATCAATTAATAGATTAATATTTTTTGAAGTCTTTATGTATAAAATATACAAGAGAAAATCACTATAACCCGTAATCTTTCGAAAATACATACTACCATCAAACCCTCACAGCAATTTTCTCTCGTTTTATTACTTACGTGGGGTTAATGGTTATATTTGTGAATGTTTCTAAACTGTTTCCTGCATTTATAATATTACCTGATGATTATTTGATAAGCCTCCATGACTAAAGCTGGAAAAGTAACTCGCCCAGCTTGGCC